TCCCCCCCCGTGGGAGTCGGGGAGAGGGGTGAATTCCCACTCCGAAGGGGCTGGGGGGGAATTCGGGGTTGGGAACCCACTCCTTTTTAAAGGCTGCCAAGGTTGAGGAACACTGCTCTACACTGTCAAGCAAAACAACCTTAGTCTTAGATACATTAATTTTCCAATCCATACTCCTTGTTGCAGGACATAAGCTGTCTAACATTCGCTGCAAATTATTTGGGTTCTGATCAACCACTCAGCACTATCTGCACATGAAAGTAATCCTCTATTCACATCCCCACCTAGCACACCTTTAAGGTCACCACCACATTTATCCGTTAACGCCTCAAGCCACCAAGGAGACATGAGTCATCCTTCTCTTACTCTGCACTCAGGGTTGCATCCTTTATGAAAGATTGCGTTTATCCTCACTCTTGCTACCTGCAGCCACCCATTGATGAGCTTCTATGTGAGAGGATGGGCAAAACAAGGAAAACATTAACTCAAACCTAGCAAATGTTTTATCACAAAAGCGCCTTGCCTTTTGATCAGGGGTCCCCGGGATAATTTTTTAAAAAACGAACAGGCTTCCCAGCGCAAAAAAGTTTGGAAACCTCTGATCTAGAACAGGGACTAGATCACAACACAAAAATATATGTGAAGAAGAACAAACAAGTTGGGAGGAAGTGGAAGGGGGGAAATTGATAAGATCCTGAAAACAGAAAGAGAGGAGAAGTTTCAAGAACAAAGTCAACATAGGAAATGGTGGGTAGACATGATGGAAGCAAGGATGGCTTGCAAGGGGAGAAAGATATGGAGAAGCAGTGCAAATGGGACTGGTATAACCACATTTAGGTATAATCCCTTTTCTGTTTTCTTTTTCATGCCCTTGATTTCTTTGTCTTAGTAATTTTTTCATTCCTCCTCTGCGCTTTGCAAATGATTGTAGATATGCCAGGAGGCATGCACATATGAGTTTAAAAATATATCCATTTGAGATGCATTTATATTTTAAATGGTGCCTCTTATTAAGGTGCGTTAAATATGTGGGGAGATCAATATTAAACCTACACAGGGGCGATTGGCCTTAAAAACATGGCAGGGGAAGCGTTATGCTAATGCCATATCCGTTTGGGAAAGCTGCATGTAAACCTCCCCAGCTCAGGGAAAGTCGTGATGAAAATCAGAAGCTGCGTTTTTCAAAAGCCCATCATCAGCCTCGCAGGGTAAAGCAGACAGGAAGCACGCCCAGTTGAACTAATTCTACTTTATTGTGAGGTTCAGAATAAACAGAATCTTGCAAGTCTGAAGGTACAATTCTCCCACACACACACACACACACCATCTCCTTTACAGCCTGAGAAAGTAGGGAGGGTCCCTTCTGAGCCTCTTGCCCTGCCCACTATCCAGCTGCGGGCTGTGCTGTCCCTTATCTGACCGTTCCCTTGGCAGCGTCTCTTTGCCCAGACTCCCAAGGTCTTTCCCACATACCACCCCAACAGCCTTAATCTACTTAAAGACTTGCAAGATTCTGTCAATGTAGCTCTACAACAAAGTAGAATTAGCTTATCTGGTTGTGTTTCCTGTCTGGTCTACCTGGTAAGGCTGACATCAGTCTTGGAAGTCTGAAGGTACAATTCTCCCCCCCACACCATCTCCTTTACAGCCTGAGAAAGTAGGGAGGGCCCCTTCTGAGCCTCTTGCCCTGCCCACTATCCAGCTGGGGGCTGTGCCGTCCCTTATCTGACCGTTCCCTTGGCAGCATCTCTTGGAGAATAAACAGAATCTTGCAAGTCTGAAGGTACAATTCTCCCCCCCACACCATCTCCTTTACAGCCTGAGAAAGTAGGGAGGGCCCCTTCTGAGCCTCTTGCCCTGCCCACTATCCAGCTGGGGGCTGTGCCGTCCCTTATCTGACCGTTCCCTTGGCAGCATCTCTTGGCCCTGTCTCCCAAGGTCTTTCCCACCCATCGATCAGGCTAAAAATTCACCAGCAAAGACATGATCACCTATTAAGGTGGGAGCCGCTTTGCAGGAATAACTGGACCACTTTCTTTTTAAACTGACCTGAACAGTGCTAATAATGTGTATGGGTGATCCTGGAAATGTCACAAGTCCTTTTTTTTCCTTCTCCAGACCGAACATGCTGGGCCAAGTCCAGGATCTGCATTTAGACCGGAGGACGAACTAGAACACTTGACCAAAAAGATGCTGTATGACATGGAAAACCCCCCTTCAGAGGAATACTTTGGTGAGTCTGGTGGTTCTCCTTGCATTTTTGGGACCACCCGTGGCAGGGAGTCCTGCAGGAAAAAGCTAACTTTCACAGCCAAAGCTTTTGGCCGTGGCTGGGTTACGGGCTTGCCCTCTACAGACGGTGCAAGACGTGCCCGTCTCATGCCAGGAAATTAAAACCCAGAAGCCAGCCAGCAGCCCTGACTCCAATTTATGTCAAACATTTTCTGCGGGGGAATTCAATGTCATAGAAACTCCTCGCTGGCCAGACCTGCACATCAGAGCATTAGGTCAAATGCATCAGAACATATTAAAAGATCAGTTGAGAGTGGAGACTTTTTGAATGGAGGGATCTAATTAACTGCTGGAAAGCTTCAAGGCGTGGTACTAATTCATGAGAACAAGTTGGTCCAAATTATTACATCTGAAAAGCCAAGCTGGCTTGGAAAAGGTCATTGGATGGATCTGCTCCTAGGTCTTTCGTCCTCCTTACTCCCGTCCCCCTTGCCTGCCTGCTTTTCAGATACTCAGTGCTCTGTGTGGCTGTGCATTGCCAAGTTGCAGGACCAGGTCAATTAAACATCAAGCAGCTACGTTCACCCAGCCAGGCTAACCATGGTTCAGGCTAGCTTTGTTGCTTCGGGCGTTTGCCCTGATAAAATCAGCCCTTTTTGGAGAGCTTATTTTTCATGGTCCTATGCCAACGTTTCTCAACCTTGGCCACTTTAAGATGGGTGGACTTCAACTCCCAGAATTCCCCAGCCAG